TGTCAAAGCCAGGCCGCCCTGCTCACTCCCCACTGCGCAGCTCCAGCGACAGAGGCGCCCAGCAGCGGGCTCAGGCACATGGTTTACCATGGCACAGGCTGTGCCTGACAGGCCGGGCTTCCTCTCCTCCTGTACAATGGACTATTTTCAGTAGGAACAGGGTGGCATCAGGCCGATGTGTGATGAACAGGACCAGGTGGCCAGAGAGGGTTCTGTTCCCCTGTGTGCTTGGTAGAGGCAACAACACATAATTCCCCATGTTGAAACCGCTCTTTCTTTTCTGAACAACTCGAAATCGGCAATAGTTTTGAAGCCGCACACCCGCCCAATTGGGAATCGCCACTCGTTTCACTTGCCTTCAGGCAGCGACGCCCACGAACGAACCAGACACACAGACCGGCTTTTCTGCAGAGCCCGGCGTTGTGCCACGAGCTCCATAGCGCCCAACAGGCGAGACGGTGCCGACTGCAGATGCCCCTGCGAGCTGCAGGAGTCGACACTGGGCAGCTGACCTCAGTCCCTCTGCCGGCGGCGCTCTTCCAGATGTGACAGTACGCTGAACAACATGGCCCCCGCCCACGCCTGCCACAGCTGGGGCCCAGGGCTCAGCCCGGGTTCGGGGGAAGCGCCTTGACCAGTTGAGACGTTTAGAAGTCGGATCTGCTCCGAAACCTCTGACTGGGAGACAGGACATCCCCCTGGCCGTTCGCAGACCCACAGAAAGGTTTAGAAATCTGGGTAAGTGACCTCAAACAGAAACTGACCCTGCGATGTGTTTTCCTGGTCAGCGTGGATGAAACGACAGAGCCTTTCGGCACGCTTCTCCTGCAGTTCCCCAGTCCAGGTATCCCCCCTCCTCATCCTTAGAAGAGGGTCTGAATCTCAGCAGCTGGACTCCGGAAGGAAGAAGGAGGAGGAAGCACAAAGCTGGCGGGCTTATTAAAAGAGACTGACAGATAAAAAGACTGACGTCTTGACAATATTCACCCAAACGTCTTACAGCGCCTTGTGGAAGGACAATAAACTAAGCTCTAAGGTACACAGGGGGTAACGCCTCATCTTGCTTACTAAACAAGGCGGGATTGCGCAGGAGGGGGCCCCTGGGGGGAGGAGCAGGAATGTCTTAAGCCGGTGTGTTAACCTGAGCAGGATCTCAGCAGCCTGATCTCCCGAGGGACCACATTCCAGTCAAGAGAACATGACAGCTATGGGGGCAGCCTCTCCGAACAGGGACATGGTGAAGGGAGAGGGTGTTGTAGGGAGGCCTGCTCTTCCTAAGTGATGAAGAGACACATCCTGTTTTCTATTTCAGTGAAGAGCACACATATGAAAAGGCGCTCCCCTGTGAGGCTGTTTTGCACCCAAAGGAACGCTGGAGATAATTGATGGATTCCAATGTGCGATCTCGATTTTTAACCTCTAAGAACGTGTTTTCTTTTCCGTTTGCCTGGTGCTTTTAATGGTAAGAATAATGCATTAGCTCATTGTTTAGGAAAGACTACGCTTGGAGAGCACCCAAGTCTTGGCACCCATGTGCTTTTATTTCCTTGGCAGGAGAACTGATCGAGCACGTCTACCCTGGTCCTGTCGGTGACGAGCCAGTTAAGCACAGGTCACTCCTCTGAGCACATGTCCCCCAGCAGGTAAGAGCCTCTTTAAACAGCAGGGCTAAGGAACTGTGTCTGCTGTATGAAACAGAGCGTGGATTCAGTCCTGGCTGCAAGCGGAGCTGTCTGCTTTGCAATGGTCCTCTTTTGGACTTTGATTACTACTGACAGGCTTGGGCTGGTTTCAGTCACCCCGCCCCCACCACTACGCCTCTTCGATTCCTGATTCCTGGCCCTGATTTCCAGGATAGACGGCGATGTGCGGCAGTGGCAGCTCTCCCCCTTTTAAAACCTTCTCCTTGGTTACAGCAGCAAATTCGTTTAATCCAGTCATAGATAAGTAACCAAAAATGTGCTCACACATTACCCCGAGCTCCTCTAAGGACCCACGGGGGGAAATTTCTGAAAAAAGCAACGGCGCTCATGCAGGACTGACGGGATGACCTATGAGTCCATCCCTCCGAATATCCCCTCACACATGAATCATCAGTTTCACAAATACGAAACATCAATGATCCCGACAGCTCCTGCCAGAAGAAAATTCTGACCTCATTTCACCAACAAATTGTCAGAAGTTTGTTTGAAATGGCATTTTGTGCAGATTGGATTAATACAGGCTTCCCTGTTCCAAGATTCTGGGGAGCTATCCCAAAGGAACAATGGTGCAGTAATCAGGACAGGCAGGTCTCAGAATATTATTTGCTATGCTATTCTTTTATTATATTCCTAAGATGTGTTTTTTGGCATTTGGTTTGACAAGCTGTCATTTTAAAAAAAAAACATCCAGCGAATGTCATCGGAGTGTGGGGGGGAGGGGCGGTTGTATAGTTCTGGGAGGATCTGAGTCAGTTTAAGCTGTGCTTCGCGTTCTCATAGGGGTTGAGCAGGATAAGTCAAACCTACACCAATCAGCCCTGTCATAACAACAACAGCAACCCCACACTCTTGCTAAGTAACGCTCAGAACGGCTTCGCTGGCCAGATAGTACTGCATTTTACAGTGCCCTAGGAGCTACGCTGAGTAATATTATAGTATAGCAGTGATACGTTTTTACTGGATATAGGTCAGAACATTTACTATCACTCCACTACAATAAAACAGGAATTTCATGTATTTTTGTACTCAAAATTAACATTTCAAAGTATAGAACATCCCAAAAAATGAACATAATAAGTTACGGTACGTATTTTATGGTTGAAGTAAACATCTCCTCTCATTTAAGCCCAGCAAGTGAACTAGGAAGGTCTCTTTAAGAGAACTGTTAGGAATTCAAATCAGGGTTCGGTTCTGCTGCTGGGAGGTCAGCTGAAAGAACACTGGTGCCAGACTTGTGAGGACTGGTGGGTCCTGCTCTGCTCACTTGGTGCTGTTTTGACTCCCGGGTCAGGTGGAGGAGGAAATGAAGTGGTTCACTTTCCACACCTGACTGGTTTGACAGCAGTACAGCACACGGCCATTGTTTGGGATCCTCCAGAGAGACAACATCCTTCCCATTCCAGAAAGATGAGACTACCTGAATAATAAAGGTCAGACGCAGAACAGTGTAAAAAATACTGGCAGCCCTGGAAGGATTTGCGTTCGTGTCTTTAAAACCCCTTCCAGCCTGAATTCAATTTGACACCGTAATTCTACACAGTGGAAATGCATACCTTGATTGTTATGCAGTCATTATAAAAGTATTTTAATTTGTTAGAAAATCAGATGAGGGGAGTGTAATTTCAGATCTAATTACAGCGATTCCAAAAATCTTAGATTTTGTTTTTTGTTGGTTCTCTCTGTGTTGAACGAATTATTAACATATGTGTGTGTGTGAATCTGTAAATTTGTATTAAACCTGTCACACTACAGAGGGACGCTGCCTGATTCTAAACTTTGTGCAGCTTAAGACAGCTCATTGTAATAAACAGTGCCGCACCAAATGTACAAGTTTCCTGACAAATACACTGTTGGTATCTTGGAATTGTTTCATACAGGCGATAAAATATCCACACACTGCCGTTACCTGTCCTATATTTTAAACATGTTAAACTAAATACTGTAAAATTCTGGATTTTTCAGCCAAATGAAATTTACATGGATTCTCCATTGTAGATTTACCTACACAGTAGCTCTCTAGAGTGTATCGTCACTGTTCCTCCAACAACAGCCTGAATGCCAGCCTGCGTCTTGAGTGGCTTTATCTTCAACAAGGCAAAGATGCCTTGTAACCCTACCCTCACGCCAGGTGGCGCTCTGCAAAGACAAGGGCAGAGCTAGTACCCTAGTACTATCCAGGAATGATAATCGATACCAGAGATGTTCTCTTCTGCAGATTGCACAGACAATTTAAAATCCTCAATAAATTACAAGGCCTCGAAATGGTGGCAGTTCATACAAATTAAGTCTATTATCAGATCAGTTTGGTCATCAAGATGTGAGAAGCAATGACTAGCTGAACATGCGGTACCAGTCTAGGGCTTGTAGCATTTATCATGGATATTGACAAGTGCTGCATGGAGATCCTGAGCACGCTAACAGACATCTCCACTCTTAATTATTTCTGACCGCTTCCTAAAAATGTAAGGAAACTTAACAATAAGAGTCCATCTTGCTCTCTTATTAGCGGTTCAATGTTGCGAGAATCACGCTGCCTGCTTTTAGGGGATGGCACAGAGTCAGTTGACCCGGTTATGGAGGTGACTACAGACTCCCACCACTCTCTGTGTAAACATCCGTCGTTTCCTATGTTCTGTCTTGATTGCTCTTAACATTAATTTCCAATTATGTGGCACGTTATCGCCAGCCTAAAAGCTATCGTGAGTTGAATTTCTTCATATACGGTATAAATCCATTCTTTCAAGGAAAATATATATATATTGCTTGTGGGGGGTCATAAGGATATAGAAATCAAGTTTTGAGATATTCTTTGCATCCGGAGGGTAGACAGTGATACTTGCCTCATTTCGGCATGTGAATGAATAATACTAGAGTAGTGCTTCTTGGCGGAGGTGAAATTCAAGTTTCACAAAGAAATTCTTCTGTGCGCGTTTAAAAAAAAAAAAAGCTGAGGAAGTCGAGGCGTGATGTCATAATGACCAGGGAGCAGGAAGTCTCACCTGGTCACGTGACTGGAACGGGGGGCTCCGGGTCGACTTGGTGACCATCCATCATTATCTCATTATCTAATCAATCACCCCACAAGAAAACGGCTCGCCACAGGGGATAGAGGGCGGAAGAGTAATAGAGGTGGGCTTTTAAATCACCTTTAATTTACCGGTGAGTCATATGTGACTGACAGCACAGTTAAGAACCTGTGGGAAAGTCTCCGAGGAAATACTCCGGCGAACCTAACGGGATGTTTCTGAACCTCAGCACACTGCAGAGACACGGCTTTCTGTCCGCCCCCCCACGTACAGTACGAGCTTCTGTCGCAGCCCCAGGTACAGCTCACAGGTGTAGAGGGGCAGGCCTTTACATAGTGTGCATCTCAGGTTGTAGTTCTTAGTTCCTGGGCAAACACAAACACAAACACTACACGTGGACTCTCCTGTCGAAATGCATTCTCATGTACATCACGATGTACACTGTTTTGTTAATATGATTCGCCTCTCGTGTCTGGAACATGTACTGTATGAGCTATCTGCTAGTGCATGTCTACACTGCTGTGGTGCCGGAGCAAAGCTGTTCGGTTTCTTCCCTATTTCCTTCCCAGCATGTGAGGGGGGGAAATGAATACATTCTCCTCAGGCATCCCTCGATTAGCGGCGCTGATGGCGTGATTTTCCAGGAACACGTGGGCGTGCCGTGCCGTGCCGTGCCGTGCCGAGACTACACCAAACACTCGCGGCCTCGCACAGACAGCCCCTGTAGGTACGAGCAGCCTGTGAGAAACTCCGCGGGCCGGCGTCGTCTTGAGCTCCCCTCTCAGCTCCGCACGGCAAATTTATTGACAGCCTTTAAAAATATTTACTGCCCCGGCTTCCTCTCCCCACGGGCACGCAGCCTGTAATTTCTTTCTGCGTTTATTAGATCATTTGTCAAGCCCAAGAGCTTTTCGGGGGTTTTTTTTTTAAAGAAAATGTTGCTTCTTTTTCTTTCCTTTTTTCCCTCCCTTCTGGGGGGAATTATTGTGCAACAGGTTTCGGGATTAACTCTTTCCTTCCTCCATCCCCCCCCTTTTTAAAACGCAGGATTTACAGCTGAGCGGTCTGCGCTGTGGAGACTGTCTGCTTCCCAAAGGAAAATCTCCTAACGCCTGTTCAAGGCCGGAGCTCGGGCCCCTGTATGAAAAACACATGTTCCTCCGCTGTATGACTGGGCGGGGGTGGGGGTTACCCAAGACAAAAGACCCCAGTTCGCTTGAGATGGACTGTTTAAATGATCACGCGTGGGGCTGCCGCAAAGACGCAAACGAGCGATCCCTTCGCCCCAGGCGGGAGAATTAAAGACCGCTCGTTGCAGGTCCGAGACCGAACCTACAGCCCCCCCTCCCTCCCACCCGAAGCCAGAGTGAATCCTGGCTCCGGTCGAGGTGTCTCCCAGCACGGGTTCGGGTCCGGACGACGGGGCCCGGTTTCTGTTCCGAGGCACGGAACAAGAAAACAAGGTCGAATCCAGGCTCTTCCTGGAACCAACGTGAAATAAAACCTCTTGTAGCAGAGAGATCTCCCCCCGTTCAGGCCCGAGTAACTCTGCCCGCCGGTGGTGCCACCGCGCCAGTCAGAGCTCAGCCAACTTCCCCCGCAGGTATGTCTCCGTCTTCCATACGAGATCTTCTCCCTAATGAGCCCCGATCGGCCCGCGGCTCGGCGGTTTGCTCCCAGCCAAACTTTCTGAAATGCTTATTTCTCCTAACCTCGGTCCCGCTGGCTGTCGTCCACGTCAGTGGCCCGCTCCTTCCTCCCGATGGAAAGGAGTGTCTCCAGCAGGAAGCCAAGCCCACGTCTGCCGGGGAAAAGATGACCATCTCCAGCATGGACCGGCCACAGGAACGCGACAGCGGCGCTCTTTTACATTCGATTTCGATTTCTCAGACCTTCATTTCCTTCTCACACATAATCACACAAAAAAAGTTCAACTTTGCGATGTTATGTATGAAACAGTATATATGCGCACTTCTCGGAGAGGTGGGAAAACAAAGTAGTTCTAGTCCAGTAGGGAGCTGGGTCAGCACGCCCGGCCTGCAAAGGAACAGGTAAAGAGTTTCTTCTCTGCTGGAAAGAGAAGAAAGGAAACACAACGTTTCGGCTGTGGAGCCTTCTTCGGGTGTCCGAAGGTTAAAAAAGGCAACAACAATTCGTTTTTTTCAGTTTTTTTTTTTTCAGGGGCTGTAGTTCAGTTTGAGTCGTTTCCAAAACATGATAAATTACATTTTTCTTTACATGATGATCAATATCCGGGGTTTTGAGACTCAGTCCTATGCCCTCTATTTTCCAGGGGATCTTCTGCCGCCTCCTGTTTGACATTGGTGGGGAATAGATGCGTGGGCCGGGCGGCACGGTGGGGCAGTCGGTGGGCTCAGTCTCGCACCTGGGGCAACTGTCTGTGTGGAGTTTGTATGTTCTTCCCGTGTTTGCGTGGGTGTTCCCCGAGTGCTCGGGTTTCCTCCCACGGTCCCAGACCATGCAGGTAGGTTATTTGGCATTCATGAAAACTGGCGCTGGTGCGAGTGTCTGTGTATCAGCCCTGCAACCGTGGGGGTCGTCCTGTCCGGGGTGTGCGTGTACCCCATCTTGCGCCTGTTGCTCGCCGGGGTAGGTTACCGCGCAACCACGCATTGGAAGAAGAGAACGGGCGGGCGGACATCCGTGGACTAAACCACGACAATCGTGCGTGTGCGTGTGCGTGTTTGTGTGTGGACGGGGTTGGTCAGTAAATAACATGAAACGGTCATTGTTTTTTTTTTTCACCCCTCGAAAAAGTCGATTGTGCTTCCACAGAAGAACAAACTGAATACCCGAGACGTGGATTTGTCACAGAGCCTGGCTGTCTCGCACCGTGGAGGTCAGCACTGCACTGATGACGCTACAGGCAGCAGGTCTGAAACGGGAGGAAGCGGATGACGGGGTCGAAGGGGGGTATTATTAAACAGGAAGATAATGGCGCGCAATCATTGGTTTGGGATTGTGTTTCAACTCAATACTCATTTAAACAGTTCCTAACGAAGGCAGGCGAAGCTTTTAAGCTGAGTACCAGGCACACGAGGGGGGTAGGAGCTGAGGGAGGCGTTCAGTGACGCAAGGGGTTTTGTACAGTGCGGTAGCGTCGCTTTTAAGATCAGGAATGTAGCACAAAGCTTTAATTCTCCCATTTGCACTGAACAGTTTTGCTTCGACAAAAAAAGACCGTTTGAGACTTTGTCAGAGAATCACAGATGTGATAACGCTCATTTTTACGCATACGCTGGTTGGGTTCGTAATATTCTTTTGCCACGAAATCTCGCACGTGTATATATATATACCTGTTTCACCCCTGATGTGAAAAGATGGAGGCTACTGAATTAAAAAGTTCAGCGGGAATAGTTAAGGGGGAGGCCGGTGGAAGAACCACAGATGATTTACATCTGGGATTGCGCACAAAATAAGCAGGAAAGAAAAACGATCGTGTTTCGCCCAAATTACAGTAACCACTTAACAACAGCACGTTTGCTTACTGGAGTCCCGGGCTGAACTAACACCGTGGCCTCCTCTGTTGTTTTAATTCACGATGGCAACGGAGTTAGCTTCCACTGGGCTGCAGAAAAACAGCAGAGGAAGAAAAGTGGAAAGATGGGCGAGAACGACGAGGGGGTTTTGCGCGCTGAAATCATGTGAAAACTCGCCGCGGTTTGTTTTTTTTTTCTTCCCGAATTTAAAATATGCAGAAGAAAATGCTGCGCTTGCGAAACAGCGGCAGCTTCACCAGATACGCTTACCGTTCAAACAATAATAATTTACTACAGCACCAAACTATTATCGCAAGCCGAAGCGCGTTAACCGTCTGTCGCCCGGTTGAACGAGAGTACGAGTCGGCTTCAGACTCCAGCCCGAGGTCCTCACGGCGTGGCCCGGCCTGCCCTGTCCCGGTGAGTCCTGCCAACACAAACACCACAGTTTCCTTTCCAGTCAGGGACGGCGAACCTGTTCGATGGGGTGCCCGTCACGGCCTGACATCTGGAATTCTACCTCGCCTCTGGTGCAGAAAGCCCAGTTCACACACTGTTCGCGCTGCCTTTGCAGTTCAGATGAAACTTGGCGTCGCATGGATTAGATTCCGTTCATCCCGAAACATCCCGCCTCCGGTCTGGACAGGTTTCCACCAGGGACAGAGAACTCTGGAGGCATGCTGGAGTTACTGGTTGGGGACCAGGCTGATTCTGAACCTGACAGATCTATGAATGCCAGCTAACGGTCTGAGAGCTGGGCAGGTTAATCTGCAGCTAGAGGGGACGCACAGGGGCAGAAACCTCACGTTCGTTAACCATTAGTGGACTATCACAGGGGCCTGTATCAGGGCTCTCCCAGAGAAACAGCAACCACCCAGGCACCTACATCGTCTGTGGCACTGTCAGCGAGAGACGGGCCTCACCTGCTGAGTGTGCGGTTTCAATCCGCTTGAGCCATTCAGGGTCGCGGGGGAACCAGAGCCTATCCCAGCAAGCAGCAGGGGCAAGGCAGGGTTCACCCTGAACCACACACCGGTCCGTCGCTGGGCAGACATTCACGCCCAGAGGGAATTAACCTACTAGAGAGGAAACAGGAGCACCCACAGGAAACCCACACAAACATGGGGAGAACATACAAACCCCACACAGACAGCACCCCAGGAATTGAACCCCAAAGCCCCAGCGCTGCAAGGCAACAGTGCCAACCACTGTGCCACTATGCCACCTAGTCAAGTATAGAGCCTTCTAGTAGTTCAGGGAGAGTTAAGGGCTCAGTGGGGTTGCTGGGCGGCACGTGGAACCTATCTGCCTCTCTTCATTCTCCCCATATGGGCACCACAGTTCCCACTTGGGAACAGCCCAGCCATCTTGTGTTGGGCTGGTGGGGTGGCACACTGTGTGCTGAACTGTAAAGACACAAGTGGGTGGGCATATAATGAAACAAAGCCGTAGGTTCTAAACTAAAACATCGTCCTCTGTGGAGATACTGTTAGAGTGGATCTTGAACTATTATGAACTGAGCTCGGAGGAGAGAGCATGACACTCTTTTATCCTTTTGGTGCTCACAGACCGCCTGTGATACCTGTGAATTTCCACCCGGAGTGATGTTCCCCGAACCTTCCTGTAATAACTTTGTAAGTATAGATGGGAGAGGCCTGGTTCAGGGCTTAAACTGAAGCCATAAACGAGCTACATATCAAAGCCCGCTCGTGTTTTCACAAAGGTATCCACTGACCTCGGCTGCAGAAATCCTTGCTTTTCAATTAACGGTAGCAGGACCGCAAACCACACCACCTTCTCCGAAAGTCCAGCTCGCAGACTCTTGCCCGCTTGCGCTCCAGGTTGGTGGCGAAACGCTGAACCGCCAAACGTCTGCCTCAGCAGGAGACCGGGTTCACCGGGGGGTCTCGCGAGCCGCTGGGGGGAGGAAGTGACATCACGGCCTGGGGGGCCTCCGAAGATCCCCGGGGGAGAGGGGCGACTTCACTGCGTCGGGGCGACACGTGGAACTCAGCCTGATTAAGGCGCAGAAGCTGCGAAGTATCGATCCAACGCTCTGGACGTTAAATTCAGTCTCTCTGAGAGGCTCTTTTATTTTGGCTGAAACTGGGGAGTCTTTCACTTAAAAAAAAAACAACCCCCCCCCTCCCCAGTTTTCCCCTTCAGCCTGCTTCCAGAACTGGGCTTTTTCCAGAAGGAGCCCAGAGCCGGTGGCTGTCTCTGCCGTGTGAGTCCAGGCCGGGAGAGGTGAGGGGTTTCGGAGAGAGTTTGCCAACAGAAAGAGCACTCTGGAGCCCAGCGGGAGCAAACACGCTGCTGTGAGACGGCGCTAATCTGATCAGCCCCACTCTAACGCGATTGCTGAATTACTGGTAGGGAAAAGGCAAGCAAATGGAAGGCAGGCGGGAGAAAGGAGAAACCTTTTTGGCAAATTGCATTTTTTTTTTTACTGCAAAGAAAAAAAAATGAAGTGCGTTAAGATAGTGATTTTATTTTCTTTTTTTTTTCCTTTTAAAAAAGGGTCTCTTTTCTGTTACTCTCCATCGGCCTTAATAAAGTGAAATAAAATGATTTTCGGCTAAGGTTTCAGGAGCCGAATCAATCCGCAAAGCCACACAGCCACTCCACAGCCTAGCAGGGCTGTTTGACGTGGACGTCGATGCTAAGCCAATCTGCCCCGCGGATAGCGCAGGGAAGAGATCGCGTTACCGCACACTGAACCCTCTTCACAGGAACCCATTAAGCCCAGAAAACAAATTAGACTCTCCGGCCTGTCGGTCAGTCAGTGAGCCTGGGTGGGCCTGCTCAGTACTTTGTGATCCTGCAATGTGCTCTGTGCCTAGGGCAGCACCTGTGTCCATCTCTTCCTTCTGCATGGTCTGTTACCTTACTCTAAACACCCTAACACCCTGTCATTTTCCTTCCCCTGCTCACAGCCAAAGCCAAAATAACACATCTATCAGCTAAAGAATAATTCATACTGATGTCGTTAGCAATGACACTGGGACATTTTGGGGTAAACGCATCGGTGCAGCCAGACAGCATTTCGTTTTCTGAAAATTTCCAAATTCAATATCAAAGGAGACAGAAACGATCATTATCCAGGCACCTTGAAAACAGTTCTCCCGCTAAACAGCGGTACCTGCTGGATATTGTCGGAATTGCAACGGCTTCTTGCGACCAACGCGACGGGGCTTCAGCGCGCTGACCCGCCGGCCCGCTTTCACTGACACTCCGTGAATGAGCTACCCTGCTTTGAAAGTGGAAGTAATTAAGATGGTAGATGATAACAGGCTCCGGCGTTCGTTTTTCGCAGGCGTTTGGAATAGGGCCCTTTAGAGTCAGTCCGGAGCGACTGGTGTTTTCACAGCTGGCCTGGCCTGCACGATTAATGAAGATTCAGCGACACTGACCGCTCAGCCTCCTCCGGGCAACGCAACACCTGGCCGGACTGCAGTGTCCCACTTCATTCAGAAACACAGCTGGGGAGGTGCGGTAAAGTTACAGAGTAATAAGTAGAATAAACTTGAAACCATCTACACAGATCCCATGATCTTTCCGCGGTAGCCTCGGAGGAAAGCGTGCGATCATTAATCACCTACAGACGGGATCCGCTCAGGGGCACCGCCAGGAAATACCTGCACCAGCCGGGGCGCCTCGATCAAGACGAGACCGTCGGCAGGTGCTTACGTGCCTTGACTACTTGTTAATCAGGAGCTACTGAAAAATATAATCATGTGGTCTGTTTCTTCGGCGCAACTGTGCTGTAACCGAAACGCCAAAAAATATATAGATCTCTAAATCGTTACAGGACAGTTAGTGGCCTCTCACATTGAGGAAAAACATGGAGTAGCTACGACCCCAGGGCGAAAGGAGTCACAGGCAAAATGTATGTAAGTTTCAAGTTATTTTAATGAACAGTAACTTCTGTACGTGGAAGGTAGAGCTTTCCTGCCCCCTAGTGGCCGAGATTTGAATCACAGCTTCTCAAAGCCTCCCGCCACTCCGCGAGCCTCGCTGGTCACAAGAACCTGCGCCTTTGCACTCAATTTGATTGAATGTCAGTTCGCAAATTCGCTGTGAAGAACTCAGGAGCAATACCTTAACACCTGTTCGACAACTGAAATAACTTTTTTTTTTCGGAAAAAAAATATTCTAAACAATTTCTACGAGGGTGTGAAAAAGAAACAATTGCAATATTCAATTTTAGTGTGTCATTTGAATGAGGAATATATATATATATTCTTTCTTTCATCAAAACGTTACATTAGTACAATGTTCCAGATTACCTTGGAAGGTGTAAACATATTACTCTTTCCAGAAATGCAATATTTCAATTTTCTGAGTGCCACTTGTATAAAAATGTGGGTTGGTATTGAAAATGACAGACTCAACAAGACATCCTATATTTCTGGATCAGTGGATAAAATGTGGCACCTGAAGCTACTTCTATTACCCACTATGAGAAATCCTCCTTAACAATACTTCTGTGCCTCTGAAGTTTGCACTGCACCACAGAAATAATTCACCAGATCAAAATCAAAGTTTATTTATCAAATGCACAACAATACAGCGTGCAGCAGTAGTTGCTGGCAATGAAATGTCTTATATAAGATATAAGATATACATTCATTTTGGGGGAAATACTACACTGTACATGACACAATTCAAATATAGTCAACCACCAGAAAAGGACTCTTCAGGTCTGGTTAAGGAGAGGGGTTTTGAGGTTGGCGCTGGAGTACGATTCCCAGGGTCCCATCATGTCAATGAGAGGGAGAAGAGGGGAAGACTTTGTTTCTTCTGTCTCTGTTTCTGTCTTTGTCTTTGGAAGCGCTAGAAGGCTGAGCTGGCGCACTTGTCTCTAAGGGGAGCAGTATCGAGCGAAGTCAGAAAAACCGCTTGCATGACAAAACACAAAGTGTCACTTTGCAGAGTGTTGCAGAGGAATGTTGCTCTTTTACTGCACGTTCTCCATCAGTTTCAGCCACTCTGGAAGAGAAGAGAGGACATTCAGGAACCCCGGACAGACTGAGAGACCCAGGGACAGCTGCAAGGTGGAGATGGGCGGGACAGGGCTGCTGGGGACAGGATCGTAATGATGGTGACTAGGCACAGCTACTGTTTGTGAGACGGACTTGTTGTGGTCATTCCTCCCGAACTACAGTTAATAACTTCCATGTAGTGATTACCTGAATAACTTTGACAAAAGCATCATATTATTGAATAGGAACAGGTAATAGGTTTATTCCATGCTGAGAAGAGATAAAACACAACGTTTAGGCTGTGAAGCCTTCTTCAGGTGTGAGCCGAAACGTTGTTTTCTCTCTTCTCTTTTAGAATAAACCTATTACTTGTTCCTTTGCAGACTGCGCATGCTGACGCAGCTGCCCACCTGAACTGCTTCATACTATTGAACAGTATCGGGGGGCCCAGCCCTGTTCCTGGTAAGCCATTTCCAGCTGGTCTTAAAGTCTCCATGAAGTTGGTATTTGTACCAATCACTTGCTGAAGGAATTCCCAGTGTCAGAAGATTGTGAGTTACAGTCACACACGAGCTGAGCCTGCCCTGCCCTGCCATCGCGCCGCGGCGGCGAGACAGCAGCTGTGCCTGCGGGATCTCTCACCTCTGTGAAGCAGCAGCACCTGGGAGCCAGAAGAGGTCTGCAGGCTGGACCAGTGAACTCAATAATGGGCTGATTGAGGTCATTATGTGCCAAACTGGAACAAACATGGGGCCCCGCAGGCCCAGAGCTGAGCTCGCACTGAACTGCAGAGGATGCATTTCCACTGGCTTTGAGCAGATACGTGCTGAGCCAAATCCTAATGAGCCCATAATGACTTAATATACTGCAAGACAGACAGATTCCCTCTGAACCAGGGGCAAGGGCATTTCCACTTAACATCAGTCTGCTACAGAGATTCTATCAGAAATTGTGCTGCAAAGTGGGAACCCGTCACTGAGCTGGGTTTGCACGAGAGCAGGAGGATGCTGTACTTCTTGGGTCTCCCAGCAACTCACCATCGAAGTCCAGTTTGCCATCGTTATTTTTGTCTCCTTCCCGGAGGAGCTCATCGATCTCTTCATCCGACACGTTCTCGCCCGCACTGCGGATGATCATGGCGAACTCCTCCCTGTCGATGTAGCCGTCGGCGTTCCTGCCACAGACAGACACAGCCGTGCTCAGGACAGTGCAGGAAGCTCAGCTTTCAATGCCCGAGGGGAGCGGCTCTCTGGCCCAGCTCACTTCGGGATGATTACTGCGCAGACTCGACTCTCATCCCTCGTTCAAAGTAGAAAACACATCACACAACGCGCTCTGTGGGCATTCCTCCATGCGGCT